TTTTAATGGAGCCACTTTCTAACTTGAAATCCTTTATGGAAAGTTAATACACTGTATGGAGAAAAAATATTGGTCAAAGATCAAATGCATTCCTGGGAAATAAAAATGGATGTTTAAAATACATCAGCCTTGGTCTACACTACTTAGCTTGTCATACCATCAGGCTTCATTTGCATGTAAAAACCCAGAAAAATGCTTTCGCTAATCACAAGATAAATTAGCGCTGATGTAGTTACCATGGTTTCAAAGCAACATAATTGAGTTTTCTTCTTAAGAACTCCAAGGAAAAAGCAATTATGTATGAGAAGCACAGATTACAGTTTTGTATTCTCTCCTGATGCTATGGAAATACATAACAGCACCTGCATCTCTTTAGAGTGTTACTTCCTGTTAAATGTACTGCAAAATGTTTCTATGGTTATTAAGTGAAAGCCTTCTCTGTCTTGCAAGACGAATAAACATATCTGTTAGGGCCTACTTTTCTTCAGAGTGGAGTCAAACAAAGGCTCAATTATTTGGCAGGCTGCATCAGCTGGCTGCCAAGGAAACAAAATTAAATAAATAATATTTTTCGGGGTTAAGTCCATGAGGTCCAGTTGTGTCGCTCCAGTCATTCAATTTAGATACAAAATGTCTGTATGATTTAAAGGAAGAGAAATTCCCCCAAATCCTTGACTAGAGTCTAGATCAGGGGTGTCAAACTAAATGTCATCGCGGGCCACATTAGCATTATGGTTGCACTCAAAGGGCCGGTTGTAACTTTAAGACTATATAAATATACATATATAACTATATAATACATATTAAATAATGTATTATATTATTGGCTCTGCATTGGATTATTATCAGTTCTGGTAATAACTTCATAAATAGCTACGTCTGAAAGCAGAAGTCTAGGGCAAATATTGGAAAGCAAATATTCAACAATTACGCCAATAGTATTGTATATTGTATTCTTTGCAAGCTCTTGCGGGCCATATGAAATGAGGTCGCGGGCCGGTTGTGGCCCACAGGCCTTGAGTTTGACACCCATGGTCTCTAGAGTACTAGAGTATATTTGTTTGTATCGCCCCGTAAGGATGAGATAGAGGAGTGACAGTTTTATTGTGTACCTCTAGCTGTTTGTGCCGACAGCATAGTGACAGGAAGCCAAACACACACTGACCCCTAATGGCTCTCTCTCCGCCTGCTGCTGCACTAATCGCTTCAACATTAGACGTTAGCTCAGTTATAGGGACTCTTTTATTGTCTTTTATTTGAAAAGGAGCCATGAGATGTATTTCAGTTAGCTGCATAACACAATGCTTTCTCTTACTTTGATGTATCACATTTTAGTTATAGGAGCATCCTTTGCCTTATATGGTAGCAGAAACAACTTGACTGACTTTCTTACCTTATCCATCCATCATCATTTCCTCCTCATCTTTTGAAGCTTATTTGTATCTTTTTGTTCAAAATATAATAATCAACCTTCCCCTGCACTTCCCCTTCATTTTAGTCATCTTGTACTTTCTGCCTCGTCTCCTCTTCCACTTAGCGTCTTTACACTACACTCCTTATTTTCACTGTTTCCTTATTCTCTGCGGACAAGTCTCCTATTTTCTTTCTCCAACTCATTTCTATTCTTGAATCTCACATTGAATCCCCATCATCATCATCAACCTGTCACTTCATTAGTTCTTCCTCTTGTCCTCTCTTCCAAATTCTCCATTTGAGAACTTCAAGGTCCCTCCTATTCATTTTCTTGCTTTTTCATTTTAAAAACGTTTTTCTCTCCCATAACTATCCTTTATAGAGTGCCACAGTGACGCATCCTAAACTCCTTCCGGTTCCTTCGACAAAAAAGCAATGCAATTTCTCCATAGCATTTTGGAAAATAGCTCGAAATAAGGTCTGTGGTTGACACACATTTAAGAGACGGATCACGTTTTGTTCAGCCGGATAATATCCACATGTCTACCCTACTTTTATAATTTTCGAATCATAAATCTAGTCGCCAGAAGCAAAATGCTAACGTTATGCTATAAACGAACTACAGCAGGGTCGCTGCTTCAACGTCACGCCAACTTAAGATCCATATTAAAACATACAGATTCAAAATGGTATAAGTTGAAGCGTTTGTTTGAACAGTTTGCAGGAGGCAGGTACTTGCTTTCAAGCAGAACAGGGGGGAAAACAAACTTAGCGGGAGTGTTTTACGTGTTCGGTGTAATGACGTAAAACGGCCTAGACAACTTCTGTAGTCCTATTCAGCCACTTGTTAACAACCATCGTTTTTCAGACACGTAAACTCTTCAAAAATCACCAGTGGGGTCACTGCTGATGTATTTAATGTCGTAGAATAAAACGTGATCTGTCTCTTCAATGTGTGTCAAACACAGACCTTATTTCAAGCTATTTTCCAAAATCCTATGGAGAAATCCCATTGCTTTTTGTCGAAGGAACCGGAAGTGGTACAAATGCTAACTTACTTCCGGGTTTTAGGACGCGCCACTGTGGCACTCTATTTCCTCATTATTTTCTTCATCCTACCTTTCTCTGCTCAGTCCTTCTTCAGCACCACCATTAGCTTCTCCATCTCACCCACCCTACTAATACTTTGCATCCTATGTCCTCCTCTCAACATTATCTTCTGTAGCATCGCCTCAATCTAAATGTTCAGTATACACACCGTGTCCAACTATGGCTTTTGTTACAGGCTCTGTACATTATTGAAAGCGAGCAGATCACTAATTCATGTCAGCTGAGCCTTGTGGGGTATGAGAGAAGCTGGGTGGAGGCTTGTTGCTTTCTGAAGGCCTTTAATGTGGCCTGATCCATGCCTAAGCCATCACATCCCACACCTCTGCTGCGGCCTCTCGTCTCCTCTGCTGTCTCCACAGTCTTCATTTTACTTCATCCGGCCTTTTGAATGGCCTCTTACTCCTTTTTTTCCCTCCCTTGCTTTCTTAGCCCTCCGCCTCCCATGATGGTGCCCCTTCTGTCTTCATCCAACCCCTAGCTACTGTATAGAGATTTCTACTCACTCTATTTCCTGCTGTACTTGCTTTCCATCTCTCCTCACTCCCTCTCTCATTCATTGATGTCTGATCTAATTGCTTTTGCCCTGACACTGGGGACCCGGGCACAGTGTAACAAGCTCCCAGAGGATGCTCTCCGCCCTTCGTGGCTGCATCCTTGAATCACTACTTTCTTTTTATCTGTTTCCTCCCCCCCCCTTCCCCCCAGTGCATTCATTGATTCACTCAGCAGCTTTAATGCCATAGCCCCAAGACGCAAAGCATGATATTGTGATCCTGCTGGCCCAACTGAATCTAATCTAAGGCGGCCCCCAGCGCAACTTAGGTTCAGGAATGACCAATTGCAACAGGTATCTTTCTATTTTCAAGAAAGCTTTTCTCATCAACATCTCAGAGTGTGCCTGAGAGAGAAAAATGGTGGAAGATAGAAAAATTGAAAAGGGCAGGATGGAACTAGAGTCAGGGAGAATAAGATAAACAAATAAACAGGGAAAGGTGGGAGGGACAATGAAAAGATCGGAAAAAAACAACCTGATAACATGGAGAGGCATGCAGGGCTAGCACAACAATAATGTAATAGAAAAAGGTGAAGTATGAAGATGCAGCCCAGTGAACTAAAGCAGATTTTGACAGCTTTTGCTCCTCTCACAAATAAGGATTTTAGAAATATGACACACATTTTAACTTTCCTCTCACTGCCATCTTTTCCTTCTTGATCCCACGGTGTGATATGTCACACATCAAGTGACATCCACGAATTGTGTGCCCTTAAACGAATCCTGGAGAAAAACACACAAGCATACAGATCCTGCTTTGTTCAAAAATATAAAATGTCACTGTACTGTATTCCCTCTTGATCTTCATCCTATTTTCACTTCTGTCTTGTAGATAGTGAGGATGTGACATTAAATAAAAAACATGAAAGAAAAGAAGCTCATTTTCTAGCAACAAGTCCTCACACATCACACTTGGCCTACAGTGAGATTACCCAACACAGCACACAGTGTACAGAAAGTGAATATGAGTAATGCATTTCAGAATAACCCCAGCTGTCAATCATATGGTGTGGAAGTGTGTGAGCACCGTACGCTATATTGTTCCCTGTTTCACTTTGACATGAGGCTCAATGATAGAAGACAGCTCAACATCACTTGTTCTACACCTCTGCCTTCACATTCAAGTGAGAGCTGTACAGTGTGTGTGCATTTGTGTGTGTGGTTTGTGTGTGTCTCATAAATATTCATGATAGAACACCAGCATGAAGATCAAAACATTTCATCCTGAAGGTTAATAGGTCAAATGCGTTGATCAAATTCTAGTTGTTGCACACCCTCCTCTCATTAGAGGCATTTAAAGAGAATCATTTGATACAGATACTCTGATCTTCCTCCCGGCCCTCCCTAGTGAATTCTCCGGATCTCTCCCCCCCAGTCTCACTCACACACACACACACACACACACACCACACACACACACACACACACACACACACACACACACACACACACACACACACACACACACACACACACACACACACACACACACACACACACACACACTCTGTAGGTCCTTTGGGCTCAGGCACGGGCTGAATGCAGATTGCAGATATCCCTCTTTGAAGTGAGCATGCTCACTCTATATATGTGAAATCACACGTATAACCATGCTGCGTTAGTGCATGCTTCTCTAATCAGATCAGGTGTTTAATTATTAATGTATGTGTTCAAGTAGCAGAGGCAGCATATTCGAGCGGTTGACCCCGCAGCTATACGGTTTACCTTTATTTTGAGTAACCGTGTGTGTGTAACCGAGAGGGTTTAAGAGAAATAAAGCTGCTGGGTGTGTTCATGCATTTTGCAGTTTTTGAGTCACGTCAAAAGCGCCTTCAAGCAAATACGAAACCCAATATACAAAACAAAACACAACTGCCTCAGGTGGCCCTCTAAACATTTGTTCTTTCTCTGTGTCTCTCTGTAGGTGTGTGGAAATCATCGCCAAGGAGGGGAGAAGTCTGAAGGAGCTGTATCTTGTGTCTTGTAAAATCACAGACCACGGTAGGATACTTTCAATCACTGTCCCATTGTTGCAGTCAATCCCCGACATTATTACCATAACGTTATTATCCGCAGTCACTACCATGATTCAGAGCTCATTCCATTTTACGACCCGCCCCCCTTATGAGACCTGCAAACAGTAAAAATATTATTGCAAAGTTTCACACAGAATAAAGTATTGTTCACTAGATCTCTTTAGTGCAGTTTATATTACAGTCTATCTAAATGTTCTAATACAAGTCGGCAGCAACGCTTAAAACTGAGAAGATGTTTATCTGGCTTTATGTTTGAGACGTTAAATATTGTTTCAGAAGTATGTGTCACATACGATGACTGCTCCTGGCAGGATTTCTATGCGTTTGTTTGAGTCTGTGGATTTAATCTATTCATGTTGTCTAACAGGAGACATACATGCTGTTTTCCTTCCCAGCGTACAGTCTTGCTATCCCTCTAGCACCATCTCCCCTGTATTGTGTTTACACTCCCTCCTTTGCTTGATTCCACTCTGCCATATGTTGTGCAGAATATTTGAGTCTTTTATCACCTGCAGTACAATGCAACGTTGGAGCATTTCAGTACGGAAGCATCAGGAATTGCAATGCTGACTTTTCATGCACGCATTAATTATTCGATTCCTTGTGTGGCAGTCTTTGTGTATGTGGTTTTGTGTGTATGTGTACCCTGGGAGTTCCAGTACCGAACTATTGCTTCTGGGTGCTTTTTCTTTTTTTTAAATACCCAATATAACACAATCTGAGGTTATTTCTATCATTTTATTTCTGATCTCCTTACCCACAAATTACAAATTACCCACTGTGCTCAAAACACTGATCTAAGTATGATACAAACATTTGCTTGAGTCTAATTTTAAGGTATGCTTACTTGTTATTCAGATAAGTTCTGTAATGACCAACTTTCAAAAGCTAGGGTTTGCTTGTTTATGGTATCCATGTTCTGAATGAATACCATATTCTAAATCAAAAAAGGGACTATGAAATACTTAAATACTTAACATGAAATGCTTGCTGGAGTCATACATCTGCTACTGAAGGTTAGTTTATATTTCTTTAAACTAAAGGGCACAAGTAGCCTATGCTTTTGATAGTTTTGTGTTTGATAATGCTTCAGTTGTTTGTGTTTTAACTTGCTATTGTCTGGATGATAAGCTCGCTGAAAATTGCTCAAAGGAGCTACTGAGATAAGAGACTAACAAGCCTTCTGCCTGGTAGTCCCTTGGTGTTTTCTTTCGAGCTTAGAGAGCTTAGACTGGCACTGGAGATGCTTTCTTGCGTGTGCCTGTAAAGCACATTGAGATGATGGGATGTACAGATGAATTCGACCGATGTGATGCTGTTTTATTAACTTTTGATACTGGGGCTGATGCAAGATGTGGGTTTGAACTCAGGCAATGATATTCATAGACAGCTGTTGTGGCTTCAGTTTTAGTGCCTGTCTAATTGATACACAATTTAGTTCTCTCTTGCTGCGCTTGTACTTGTTTTAGTTGGGTAATTGTTTAAATGTCTTTACAATGGGAAGTATGCTGGCTGGGCTAGTGATGGTCTGTATTGTGCCTGCTTTCAACTACAGTAGTACGCCTGTAGAAAGACTCGAGTTGAGCCTGAAAATGGGTTAAAGTGAATTCTGGCAGTGAGTTAGGGTCAAAATACCAAATCGGGCGACATATTGGAATGCTATATCCACTTTTTCTAATGTTGAAATATTCTACTTTATCAGCAAGCCACATCATAATATTTTTTTCTTCTGAATTGGGTATTAGAGAGTTACAAATGTATCTCTAGCTATTGGCTACCTTTCGTATGGATCTTCATTACCTCAATCTGTTTTTCCTCTGCTGCCACGTTTTGCCCATCCTTTTGGGGTTTTCCTCGAAAACAGATATGAGAAAGGTTAATACAAGGCACAATTATTCAGAGGTTTCTCCGGCAAAGATGCGAATATACTATATCACGTGTGTTGCCACAAAGTGCACGAGCTGCAGTGTGCCGCTGACTTCTTTGAGTTACAGTGAAGATAATCACCTTGACCTTTCTGAACCTGAACCTCAACTGCGGGTGAGAAGCGTTATGTGGGCGTGTGTCCACTGTTGTTTGATTAATGACTCCAAGATCACAATAGTACGTTAAACCAGCATCGCACACAACCACCTTCCTATATATCCCCCTCCTCCTGGTTCCCTCTAATCATTTTGACCAAGATGAATTGTTGATATCTGATCTTCTTCCCTCACTAATGACTCCTCCGGCCCCCTCTGGCTGATGATGGGCTCTGTGTGTATTTATGTGTGTATGTGTCTTTCCAGAATATAGATGCCTGTTGTAGGAGCTTTGTGTTCTAACAAAATGATTGGTGAATTTCCTGCCCCAGTCTGTGATAAATTAAATAACAGAAATTAGATTGTACATCAGCCAAGCCGGCCCCCGTTTTTTCCGCCCATCTCCTGTGCTAATTATTTTTATTAATGGCTTCTCTGAGTGCATTTGAGATGTCCACAAGCCTCTTACATTTGAGTGTTCTGTTTTTTCCTCCCAGCTTTTGCTTCCTCCTTTTTTTTATAGGAGCTTTGAGGACAGATAGACAGAGGGACCTAAAGACAGGTTTAGATGACAGAAAAATGGAGCTGGGCAACATGTAATTTTACTCCCAGCGCAGATGGTTTTGGAGATTATTTTGTGGGGAAGAGGAAACAAATGTAAAAGGCGAGGATAGAGATTTTTTGGCGTAATGATCTCACTGAAAGCCTTATTAGTGCTGTGAAAAAAAGCAACCTAGAATTTTCTCTCATTCATTAAAGAGCATGGAAAAATAATTAGCTTTAATAACATGTTGGTCGCACTCAAGGCAGCATAGAGACGCATTAAACACCTGGATTCTTTGACTCATTATGTTTTCATGAGATTTATGCATTTCAGTTCCTCACATCTGTAACTCATGATTGATGATGACTAATAGTCATGCTGCTGAAAGGTTTATTTAAACCTCTAAAATAATTCACTCAACATTTCCTTTGTCCTTCATTCAACGCTCTGTTTTCTTTTCACTACTTAAAGGTGGGGTAGGTAAGAATGGAGAAACCAGCTCGAGTGCGCTAGAATTTGAAAGTACGCAGCCGAAAATAATCTGCCACTTCCTTCAGACTTCGTTATAGAGCCCCTCCTCCAACACACACGAATGCGCACATGACCAATGAGGGCACGAGATAAGTTTGTGCAGATGGAAGGCTGACAGGCAGGTAGGCCATCCAGTTATTTTAGCCGGTCGTGCTTTTTACAGCGCCACGGCTTCCACAGATTACATTTTTTAATGTATTTATTGTCAAAGCACTTAAGATATTTATTGCTATCGGGATGTTAAGAGCATTCCATGGAATATAACAAAAAGTGTTTCTGTAGTGAATTACCTACCCCACCTTTAAGGATTTTGCCCACATGTTTCTTTCAAGCATTTTTGTTTATATCCCTGTCTTATCAAAATCTATTAACACACACCCCACGCACACAAACGTTCCCATGCACATTTATATCAACACTGTACTATGTTACACATAAACTAAGATTGACTCTAGAGGTAATAGATGCACAAAGTACAGTTCACTACTGTGCTACTACAATTAAACTCAAATTAAATGAGAGGTTTTCTAAATGGACTCATGGGAAAATGACCGCTTTGCACAGTGACTGCCCGATTCAACAAAAATAAAAGTTTGATTGTTTTAAGAAGGGGGTCTATTAACACGGACATTTTATTTTAGTTTAAATGATTTAATTGACACTTTATGATAATTCATTATATATTAATTAATTAATTAATAATTATTGCTATTTCTATAGCGTTTGACTCTACAGAAGGGTTGTCAAGGGTATCCAGATATGGTGAAGTATGCCCCCTACTCTAATAAGACACTTGGAGTACTCTGTAGTTCATGGACTACAAAAACTGAAAAACCCATATTGAATTTATTTAGCATTAACCTGGGACTCATGGGTATTTTAATAACTAATATTTTCAAATGGGGACCCTCCAGCTGCAGGCCCTTGGACAGTTTTAGTCCTGACCCTTTATGTAAGAACCTATAATCTAAGAATCACCCACTTATCACTGCTACTTCCAGGCTTCCAGGGGCGCATACACTTTCCAGCACATCCAATAATTGTGCATTTAAATGTCCTGTTACTGCAGTTACAACGCTAATACTCTGAATCGGAAACATGGATTGTACAGATGGATTGTGTTGTTGATTTAAAACTATTAAAATCACTGGTCCCATGTACCATTCTACTGTAAATAGTTTGAGATAATGCTGAGGAAGTTTTGAAAGTATTGAGGAGAAAAAACATTTTAAAACAATGCAAATGTGCCCTCTTTTCCAGTAACGGACAAAAACCCTGCAGTGACTTACATTTTGTAAGGTGACAAAGACACAGAAAACCACACTTTCCACGTATTCTGAACTGAAAAATAAAAAAGGGGGACTACCTAAGTTCTGTATTCCCTCAGGATACAGAGACCATGGTCACAGTTCGCCTATCTCTCTATCAAATTAATAGTACCACTATAACATTGGTTTGAAAGCTGATCCTGATGAGAAACTGTACTCGTCCTGGCTCCCAGTGCTAATCAGATCACTCCAGCACCGCTGACCTCCTCAGTGCCCGACCCATCCACAGGTGATGGTCTATGCGGCATCTTCAACACACCTGGACAGACAGAGACACCCCCTTGTCTCCTCTCACGCCTTTTGTTCTACATGTGTGATTTGCATTCACATGCATCCTTTTTGTGTCAGCATTGAGAGTGTACGCTTGTACCTGCACTTATTCTGTCCCTTGTAGCTCACCTGCTTTATCCAGAGAGACAAAAAGAGAGACCTTGGCACCTCCGTCCTTTACATATGGTAATTCTCCTCTTTCACCCGCACGCCTCCCCACAATCCCTCACCTTGTCAGTCATGGCCTTCTGTATACATCTGTGTGAATACA